TTGCCTTTGTAAGTAACATTTCTCTTTTCCCTGGCTGCTTTTAGGATTCTCTCCTTGTCTTTGATTTTGGAGAGCTTGATTATTTATATGTTTTGTTGATTTTCTGTTGGGGTTTATCCTTCCTGGGGTACGTTCAGCTTCTTGATGTTTATCTTCTCATCTTTCAAATTGTTAGGGAAATTTTCTTCCAGAAGCTCTTCAACTTTCTCCTCTGTGGACTTCTCTGATTCTTCCTGTTCTGGAATGCCAATAATTCTTAAATTGTTCCTCTTCATGTTATCCAGCATGAATCTTAGGCTCTCTTCAGATTTTTTAATCCTTCTTTCTGCTTGAATCTTCTATCTTAGCAGTATTGAAAGATTTGTCTTCCAGATCGCTGGTTCTGGCTTCCGTCTCTTCTATTCTGCTCGTTTCTCCTTTCAGTGTATTGTCCATTTCTGATATTTTATTATTAATCATCTGGACCTCTTTTTGCAGGTTTTTAATTGTTTCCAGTGCTATATCGAGCTTGTTTGATTGCTCTTGTAGTACTTTACTGACTTCTTCCTTGTTTTCCTCCACCCCTTTTCGGAGCATTTGAAATACTTTCCCTATCATTCTTCAGAATTCCTTCTCAGGCAAATCCAAAACCTGCTCTTCCTCTTCTGGAAAGCCTTTGTCTGTCTCCAGCTCATTTTTCTCAGTTACTCTTTTCTGTTTTGGGACATGTTTTGATATCTTTTGTTGTTTTTTGTTTGTCATTTCCAGTAGTTATGTGGGTTTTTAATGCTTAAATGGATGTTTGTTGATGTGCTATTAAGCTTACTGGGTGTCCCCTGGTGGATATGATTAGGAAATAGGCTTTCCTTTACGCATGTAATGCTTAGCAGCTGTTATTGGTTCTTGTCCAATGGTGGAATATTATGCAATATGCTTGTAGCATATGGCCACGATTGCTGACTCTTCTTGGGTAACGTAGGAAGAAAAAGCTTCCATCTCCAGCAAAAAAAATGTGTGATCAAAAGGCTTCAAAGCAGAAGCAATATAAAAGCAGAGACAAAACCCACCAATTTGAAACAAAAATAAAACTGTGGCCGACTGTCCAGTCGCCTTGCAACACAGGCAGTGTGTGTGCACCGTAGAAGCCTCCAGCAGTGGATGGGGGTGTCCACTTGCTCAGGCCCCTCCCCTTGTCACCCCTGTAGAGGTGCATAGATAGATATTGAGAAGTTAACGGGAGAAAGATTGTTTACTATTTTTGTCTCTGAAGATCAGTTAGTTATCTGCGTGTGCACAGCATAATTCTTGAAATAGTTGCATCTTTTTATGTTGGGGTTTTACAGATTTTTCGTATGGTTTTTCTGTCTGGGCAAACCTGCTTTTTGTCTTGCTGGATAGGCAGGAGTAAAGGGTCCCACACAAGTTAACTTTAGGGCTGGGACCCACAGGCAGATGTGAAAAGCAGCGCCCAAAGAATTTGCCCTTGGACCGATGGGGCTCTTTCTCTCTGTGCCGTGGGAAAGCTGTGGTCTCAATGCTGGACTTTTTTTGGGGGTGCGCACCCACCCACCTGAAGGCATCTGGGCTGGGAAAAGAAGGCATGACAGGGAAAAGAGGGGGAAATGTGTAGAATCCCCCCACACCTCCTTTTGCAAATGTCACTGTGCCGCTTTTGCGCCGGTTCCTTGTGCTGCCGGTTCCCTGTGTCGGTCTGGCTATAGCCTTGCCCTCTGACCTCCTCCCAGGCGGGATGGGAGCAGAGGGAGTCCCATGACTTGACCGATTCCTAAATTGCAATATTTTCCTTTATACATGATTTTTCCACTGGAAGTTGCAGAAAACTGACGCCCTGAACCTTATGCTAGATCTAGAGCTCTGGTGCTGTTCCGTGAGAGCAGCTTCTCTGGGTTTTCAGCTCCTCCCCCACAGAGCCTGTCCTACCTGACTCTGCTCTGCCGCCACCAAACTGGAAGCCTGCAGCAGTTTTAAAGATTACTTTTTGTAACTGTAGAGTGGTTAGTAGGTCAGCTTTCTTGGAAAAACTCCTTGACTTTTCTCTCTGACTCTTGGCTTTGCTCTCCAGAAGGTTCTTCATGGTCCATTGCCCTTTCTGATTACATCTTAAATGGGTATTAGAGAGTATATCATCTTTGGGAACTATATAGATTTTATAGTCTGCTTCCTGCTGTTATAGGTTTGCAGGACTAAATGCTGCTTTAGGAGTTAAACAGTTATAGACTTATGGGTATGTGTGACAATTATGCTTTTGTGTCAGCTTGACGGGGCCAGGATTCTCACTGGTTTAATAGTTAAGACGTAAGCCCCCATGATGAGATCACTTTCATGGTGAGATCTCCTATGAGCAGCCAAACATTTGTAAAGGAGTTTCCTTGGAGGTGTGGTCTATAGTAGTTTTCATCTTGCAAAGATAAACGGAGAGAGAAATGAGTTACTACCACCAAGAAAGAGGAGCTAGGAGTGGAAGGCCTGATTCTAGAGGAAGTTTGATGCCAAGACACATGGAGATCTGGGACTCCAGACACTGAAGGAAGAGAAGCATGGTTCTCCATAGTTGACAAAGAGATAAAACCGTCACCAAGAGCTGGCACTCTGAATTTGGACTTCTAGCCTCCTAAACTGTGAGAGAATACATTTCTGTTTGTTAAAGGCATCCACTTGTGGTTGTTGTTGTTAAATGTCGTCGAGTCAGTTCCGACCCATAGCAACCCTATATAGGGTTTCCGAGGAGCGGCTGGTGAGCTTGAACTGCTGACCTTATGGTTCAAACTGACTTTGCAGTCCAGCACATTAAAACCACAGCAAGCCACACCAGGACTCCTCCACTTGTGGTATTTCTCTTATAACAGCACTAGAAAGCTAAGACAGTATAAATTTTTTCCCAAAACTTATTAAGTTTATGTGTACCTACTAAGTTCCCAGGAAAATGCTATCTTAGTTACCTAGTGCTATAGCAGAAACACCACAAGTGGGTAACTTCAAAAGACAGAAATGTATTGTCCCACAGTTCTGTAGGCTGAAAGTTCAAATCTAGGAATTGGTCATGCCAGTTCTTTCTGTGAGTCTCTCTCCTAGTTACTGGTGTCTCCTGGTAGCCCTTGACATTCCTTTGATTATAGATAGTTCTTCATGTGGCATCTGTCATCCCCATGGTGTATGTCTGTATTTATTCTGCTGTTTATATAACTCAGAAGTGGTTCTGTTTAGAACCTACCCTACTCTGGTGTTGCCTCATTAACATGACAAAGGAACCCCTCTATTCCCAGTGGGGCCTATTTATAGGTGCAGGGGTTAGGACTTCACACATTTTGTGGGGACAAAATTCAGTCTGTAACAGGGAACAACACAGATTTATCCAAGCCATTGGGGTTCAGAAGGAAGTTGTTGTTGTTGTTAGGTGGCATCGAGTCAGCACCGACTCATAGTGACCTTATGCACAGCAGAACAAAACACTGCTTGATCCTGGGCCAACCTCACATTGACTTCTGAGGGTCTTATTTGTATCTTCAGCACCTAGCACAGTTAACTGATTCAAAGTACATACTCAAGTGTTATTTTGTATTCAGAAGAAGTGTGTTTGTTTTAAAACCTTAGCAAAAAGTAAGGGAGAACCTGGGGACTCCTGCATCCGTGAACAATGACCTAGACACAGAGGACTAGATCTGAGAGTGAAGCAGCCAGCTAATATAAAGTGGGGGGAAACACACACAAGAATGCCCATACTTGCAGATTGTACCCTTTTGACCTAGCTTTGATGACTTGATGACCAGAAATGCAACTAGAGGAAGATAAAGAAATTTGATGAAGGAAACAAGTGTGAATTGCTGCAGTTTGACGAACTTGACCTATATTTATGGATCGAGTAGCTCCAAATACCAACTGAGAGGGAAGGAGTCTTCACATCAAGGATCAGACCTATCCCCTCTACACAGGGTTGATAGGGATTGGCAACTTAGACATGGGTTAGCTAAAATGGGGGGGTGGGTGGGGACTATAAAGGCATGAAGTGACTGGCTTACAAATTTTCAAGAGGGAATTTAGTTTCAGAGTGTGCTAGGAAAGGTAGAATCCCCACTGAATAGTTTTCATCTTGTCTAGATGTGTCTGGTGAAAGGAGATGGGGATAAGATTCTTATGATTCAATAGTGACTAATTGTTATCATGGGTAATTGTGACTGTCAACAACTGTAAAGGTAGAAGTTTTATACTAGAAAGAGGGGAGTAGTTAATCTTACATTCCAGAAACAGAGGACCCTAGGACCATCAAGGGAAAAGAGCAAGAGCGGAATGTGGGACCTTATCCAGAGAAGCAGCAACACCAGAGATGGAGGCAGAGATAACAACATGGAGAGAGGGAACAGCTGAGGACTGTAGACTCATGGAAAGATAAAGGCTGTGTGCTGGTGGCCAGGAGGCAGGCTTGCAAAAATGTGCCCTTTGGTGGTTTAAATGATTATATGTTCCTGAATATTTTTGTGTACGTCCAAAACCCCAAAAAAATAGGGAATCGAAGCAAATACTGTTAACTGATGATGCATGGAGGGGATTGTAATCATTGCAATGAAACGAAATATGATAGGATGAGTGCAAAACCGATGTTCTCCCATGTAAACTATCACTCAATTCACAATAAAAGCTTTAGGGAGAAAAAAGTAAGGGAGAATGTATGGTCTATTGGAGGTTAATTTTAATTACGTGTCTCTCCTTGAATGTCATCTCTTGCTGAAGCCTTAAGAGTCTAATTATACCTTTGCAGCTATCATTATGGGTAATACATATGCAGTTGTAATATGTAGTAGCTAGAGTAGAGACCTTCTTTTGATTTTTTTATTCTCTATCAGTTTGACTTGAGAGCAATAGTGTATGGGAGGGGTAGAGGCAGAGTAAATTATATCTGTAAATAATATGCTAACCTTGGCAGTACTGAATTTACTTATATAGAGATAGAAGTGAAAGAAATGTTGCTTATAACCACAGTAAGTTTTATGTCTTTTATTCTACAGTTATTTGTTCCATTACATCTGTCAAGACAGGATTGTATATCTCTGTATCACTGATGATGTAAGTAACTTGAATACATATTGCTATTTAACTGTGTTTACTGTTAACACCATCAGTTCTTAATTATCTACACCCTGGTGGCACAGATATTAAGCACTTGGCTTACAGTTTGGGTTTGATGTTGGTATGGAGGGTAAAGGTGACGTGGATAACTGGAATTTTTTTCTATACTTTCTTAGAACAGCCAATGATAAGAAAAGTTTATATTTGGTTATATTCATATCATCCTGGTTTGGGTCGAATTTTAGCTTAACCTCTTGCAACTTCTACATGTAACCTGTTATATAGTGAAAATTGGTGTTCATAATTCTGATCCTTTGGTATCAAATTGTCTCAAAAATGTTTCCTAACTGGAATATTTAATCGATCATTTCATTCCATCAGTTCTTAGTTACTGAAGACTTTAATATATTTGAGCTTTGGAAAACAAAATCACACTTGACTATGCAAACCTACAGTTTATTGATGAGGTTGGTTTTGATATTATGTAGGTACTAGACATAAAATGCTCAATAACTTCATGATATTATCAAGCTTTTTCTCTCCTCTACTACTTTCAATGTCAGCTTCATCCTGCATTAGTTCCCCTATGGTTGCATGAAGATAAAATTCTTCTTTATCTAGGTCTAGACAAGAGCAACTATGTCTTCTTGTGTCTCCTATCACAGGAATGAGGAAATGTCACAGAAGCAAGCACTCCCCCTCACCCCCTGCTTTCATAGTAGACTCCGTTTCATGTCTTGTCTTGAACTAGGTCACATGCTGATTTCTAAATGGATGACTAGCAAAGGGGATGGATCTTTATTGTGTCAGTGGTCCCTTTGACACCACGAGTCCCTCTCAGAACGTTTGTAAATGAAGAAAATAAAACACATATGTTTACGTTGTTGTTAAGTGCTGTCAAGTCGGTTCTGACTTACAGCAACCCTGTGTCTTTTTCCCACAGACAACTGACAGGCTTAAACTGCCAGAGCTTATATGGAGCCATCATGCTTCCACACATGTTTATAATGGAAACCATTTTTATATTGGAATGTTGTTGTTGTGTGCCGTGGAGTCGGTTCCAACTCATAGTAACTCTGTACAGGGTTTCCGAGGCTGTAAAATCATTATGGGAGCAGAAAGCCTCATCTTTCTCCCGCGGAACAACTGGTAATTTCGAACTGCTGACCTTGCAGTTCACAGCCTGATTCATAACCACCGTGCTACCAGAGCTCCTTTATATTGGAATACAATACTCTAAATATTTAAAAACTAATATAGTCATGCATGTGATTCTTAATAGCAATTTAGTGTGGCGCTGTAGGATGAGCAATGGACTATGAACCACAAGATTGGCAGTTCAAACCCACCAGCTGCTCCTTGGAAACCCTATACAAGGTTGCTATAAGTCAGAACCGACTTGACAGCACTTCACAACAAGAAGTGGTGGTGGTGGTGTGCCGTGGCGTCAGTTCTGACCCATAGCGACCCTGTACAAAGTTTCCGAGGCTGGGAATCTTTACAGGAGCAGAAAGCCTCATCTTTCTCCCACGGAACAGCTAGTGGTTTCAGACTGCTGACCTTGAGGTTAGCAGCCCAATTTGTAGCCACTACGCTACCAGCGTTCCAGAGCTCCTTCACAAGTAGTAGCAAAGTCTAATAACTATAATAATTTTGGAATAGAATGAATGTAAATGCAATTTTAAGATATGTGTAACTGTGATGGTATATGAAAAAAAAGATTTCTGTTGGTTACAAAGTCATAAGTAACTGTTGGGTACTATTTTAGTTTGTTACCTTCATCTCATCTACAATTGAAATTTAAATCAAAAATTGATGAAAATAATAATGTGATTCTCCCCCCCACCACGTACACAGGACTCCTGAATTTAGCTATTGACCTCAGTTTAAGTTGAGCTAAGAATAATCATATTGGGTGAAATGGATATCAGTGAGTTAACGAAAGTTCTCATTAGGGTGACATTGGTTTCACAGTATTTTCTGTAATTAGGAAAAATCCCAGATATGTTTCAGGTCACTCAGATGTGAAAGGCCTTGACTAGAGTAGATGAGGATTCTCCCTAAATTGGGGAGGGTCACATTTGAACTTTATATTTCTTGTGTTGTAATTTGCTACTGCTGCTGCTGCTACTGTTGGGTATGTAGCTCAAATTTTTGACTGCCCAGGATTGGATAATGTCACTGTCACACAAAAGTAGTGTTCAGCTTAGTAGCATTATCTTTGTATGTGACAGATTACTACTCTTGTATCGATCATCTTCTTGTGCTAGACCTTCTAATTGATCCTGTAGAACATTTGGAGGAAGAAAACGCCCCAATTCCTGCCCTCAAGAAGCTGATAACTTAAGCAGCATTATATTCAACTGGTAATGTTGTTATGTTGCAAAATGCTATCGAGTCGGTTTCCGAGGAGCAGCTGGTGAGTTTGAACCGCTAACCTTGTGGTTCAAACTAAACTTATGGTTGCGTGCTTATCCTCCAGCGCCAAAGCCGGACTTCCTTTATATTCAGCGGCCAGGAATCAGAATGTTGTTGGCATTGGGCAAGTTTCTTTGTTCTTCAGAGTCTTCGTTTCCTTACCTGTAAAATGGGACCAATGCTACTTCCTACTTCATAGAGTCATTATTCGGTGAACAGTAACTCTTATCATGTTTTATTCAATTTAAAAATGTGAACTCTATGTTGGTCTCGCTTCAGGATTTTGAACGGTCTCGAGCTTTTACTTTTCTGAATGAGATAAAAAAGAGGTTTCAAACTACATATGGTTCGCGAGCACAGACAGCACTTCCATACGCCATGAATAGTGAGTTCTCAAGTGTCTTGGCTGCACAACTGGTAAGATCTTCCTCAAGATAAAAGATTTTGATTCATATCTTCCTTTTTATTTTCTTTAAGTATCATGAATATAGAGCCTCTGACCTGCAATAAACTTTTCTAATTGTGTTACTGTCTTAGGCTAGATTCTCTAGAGGAGCAGAACCAGTGAAGTATATGTTGTTGTTGTTAAGTGTCATTGAGTTGGTTCCAAGAGAAAGACAGAGAGATTTCAAGAAAATGACTCACAGTTGTGGAGGTTGGCAAGTCCTAAATCTGTGGAGCAGGCTTCAGGCTGGAGGCTTCTCATGACTCACATGGTTGCAGGGGCCATTACCCTAAGGAAACAGCCCTTACATTAGATCACAAAATGGAGGCTCGTTACATAATACCAAGACTCATGGCCTAGTCCAGTTGACACATAACATTAACCATCACAGTTAGAACATACTAAAAAGGATACAACTATAGAAGGGGTCATTTTAAAAATGAGTAGAAATCTAATAATCAGTAACATTCTTTATGAATGGCAGTTAAAGTATCACAGGATTGGGAAGAACATTATAGCTCATCTAATTCAATTACCCATCTAATATTTAAATCCATTTAGCATTGCAAATGACCTTTTAACGTACACATTAACATTCTATGAGACTAATATTTGAACCGCTCAAATTAATCCTTTCAAACTCTTTTCATCTGTGTCAGTCCCTAAGTTTCAGTTCATTGAAGTTTTACATACACTGGTGTACAAGATGAGCACCCTTTTTTCCCTGGACAGTCAGTCCCTTTCCCTACACTCTTGACTTCCGACACCCACTATCTCTTACTGTCACTAAGTTTTGTCTTTCCTACAGTTTGATATAAATGGAGTCAATATAGTATGCACTTTCTGTGTCTTGCTTTTTTTGTTCATTGTACGGCTTTTGGTAGGTTGTGGTGTGAATCCATACTTTGTTCTCCCTTTTTTTCTTTTTTGCTGAGTAGTAAGTATGCATACACCACAATGTGTTTTTCCATTCACCTGTTGCTGTATATTTGAGTTGGCCCAGTTTGGGGCTATCCTGAATAAAGCTGCTGTGCATATCCACGTACAAGTCTTTGTGTGGACATATGTTTTTATTTCTCTCGGGTAAATACCTAGGAGTGGTATTGCTGGGTCATATGGTAAGTGATGTTTAACTTCATAATACTTCACCACACTGTTTTCCAAGGTGTTAGTTCCATTGTCTCCTTGTCAACATTTGACATGGTCATTTTAATTTTAGTCATTCTATGGGTGCATAGTGGTTCTCATGGTGGATTTCTCTGATGAATAATGCTGAAGAGCAACTTTTTAAATGCTTAATTTTATCCATGAAATCAGTGGAGTGCAAAGACAGAAGCTGTAGTTGTGCGTTTGTTGTGAGTCATTAAAAACATCTATTGTAAATTATTTTCGTTTCTCCTGTGTTCTTTTTAATGTTAATATTGTTCTGTTAATCATCAGGCCTCTTCAATTATGGCTTAAATAAGATTGTTTCCTCACAAATTGATGTGGATGGTCTGCTTCTGCAGGCTTCATCTTCATCATCTCATCCCTTCTTAAGACGAGTTATCCATTTGGAAAGTGCTGATTTCTTTGCGCTATTGTTCCCGTAGATGTTTCATAAAGCATCAGTGAGTTTGCCCTTCTTCCGCCCAAGTTTCACGATAAATTTGATCTTTGTTCTTCCTTCAATCTTAACAGAATTCATGGTGACTCTTATCAAACTAATTGATGGCTTATCGTTCTTAATGCCTCAAACTAGATCATGTTCAAACACAAGTTAGTGTGAGTTTATTTTGGTGCAAAAAACATTTGAAACCCATGCATAGTTTTTTCATAATACATGCATAGTTTTTTCATAATACACATTTTCCGTGAACTTTTTGAAGAACCCTTGTATTATCATCAGGATTTTACATTCTAGCTCCTATGAGAAGCCAATGAAAATAGGATGTAATGCTCAAATCCAGCAGATATAAAAATAGTTGCTCAGTAGGGAGCCACCCCTACCTCATCATATCCAAAGAATCTGGGAACAATTTTTGGTGACCCTTCCCGGTCATCTCCCTGTTGTAGTTTTCTTTCTTGAACATAGATCATAGATCCCCACTGCCATGTCTCTCTGCTGGTACTCCAAGAGGATCACATGTATGTTTGATATATTTTACTTTATTTAAAGTAAGGTAATATTTTTATACAATGGTATGCTTTTATTTCATGTAATTTTTTATGATATCCTTTTTCCCCTCTCATTCTAGTCATGTTTTTTTCCTAATGATGTGACATCTATCTTTTGTACCAATATACACATATTTTTATAACATTCCTCAGTGTCAATTGTCATTCCTCTTGTTTTTGTTTTCATATTATAAATAATGTCTGTATTACTTAAGTTAAACCTGATTTTCTTATAGAAGCATCACTCCGAGAATAAGGGCCTAGACAAAGTGGTGGAGACTCAAGCTCAAGTGGACGAACTAAAAGGAATAATGGTCAGAAACATAGGTATGTTTTATGGGTTAGTCCACGTGCCTGTAGGCAAAATTGATGCCAGTAGATAAATTGTTCTAGAAAGACTGAAACAGCACTTCCTGACTTTGAGTCCTTACTCTTGGAGTCTTGGTGTGGTGCTGGGGGTTAATGCACTGGATTGCAAAATTGGTTTGAACCACTAGGTTGCACTTCAAACTCACCAGCCACTCCTGGGAAACCCTATTCAGGTTAGCTATGGGTCGGAACCAACCCGACGGTACTTAACAACTACTGTTCCTTACTCTTAGATTAGAATCTGTCGGCTGAACTAGGGAGGTTACTTACCTGTCATGCTGTCTACTTGTGTGATTGATTTCTTTTTAAAACTTTATGACTGTTCTTCATTCTAAATTTATTAGTATACTTAGTAAGATTAAATTCTAAGAACCTTGTGACAAATAAGCAACTGATGTAGTTAGTTTTCACTGGAGCACCTAGATAGCTGGTATTGTCAGTAGACTAAGAAAAAGAATTGGACCCAAAAAACTAATTGTTGTATTTGTCAAAATATAGAACTGTTTTATAATTTCCATTTCATCTGTTTTCATTTTGTCAAAAACCTGTTTAGCATGTTAAAATAATCTATTAAAATATATCAAGTATGCTTTTTCATTGATTCATGCAGTGGTATTTACATTTCTTGTTGTTGTTGTTAAGTGCTGTGGAGTTGGTTCCGATTCATAGCAACCCTGTATAGGGTTTCCTAGAGCAGCTGGTGAGTTTGAACCTCCAACCTTGCAGTTCAAAACAACCTTGCCGCCCAGTGCTTATTGTTATGTCGAGTCCAACTCATAGCAACCTTGTGTAGGGTTTCCGAGGAGCAGCTGGTGAGTTTGAACTGCCGACCTTGTGGTTCTCAGTCCTGACCCTACAGCACCACACCAGAAGTTCATACTTTTGTGTAGATTATTATTATTACATTGAATAATAAACTGACTGTAAATTCCAGTTTATTTCTTGGCTCTCGATTCAGTTCCAATGTTTCATACACCCTATCATTGGGCCCATACTGCTGTTTTGCTTTGTTGGTGTTTAACTTTTTATTGTGAATTTGGTGTAGATGTACACAGCAGATCATCAGTTTTACACCCAACAAATTGTACACATTGGGTTTCAGCTAATTGATTGCAGTCCCTTCAATGTAACATCATGTATCTCATTTCCTGGGTTCCTTGTTTCCAACCCTTCTGACCTTTGCCTTTGGCTAAATGCTGCCCTTTTGATCTCAAATGGTTGACCATTCTATGGTGTTCCTACCTCAGTAATGATGTCATTCCCCTTATGTTTTTGTTGTTAAGTGCCGTGGAGTGGGTTTGAACCACTGACCTTGTGGTTAGCACAGTCCATTGCTTATCATGCAGCATCACACCAAGACGCCTGTGTCCCCTACAGATCTATCTAATTATGTGCTGAAGATTGAGCAGTGGGGGGGTGAGTTTAGTTCCAGACCTGAAGGATGACCAAGGGCCATAGGCTCAGTCCATCCAATCAGTAAACCTGGTCTTTTTTTTTTTTTTTAATGATTTTGAGTTTTGTTCCATATTTTCCCCATGATATCAAGGACCTTGTAATGTGATCCCTTTCAGAGCAGTTGATAGTGGTTGCCAGGCACCATTTTTTTGTTCTGTTCTCAGGGTCATGGATACTGATGTTCATGTGGTCCATTAGTTTGTTGAACTAATCGTTTCTGTGAGTCTTCAATTGTCATCAGAATTCTTTCCTCCAAACAGGGAGAGACCTACAAGCTCTTAAGACCCTAATTGCTACACACCAAAGTAGGATGTAGAGCATTATCTTTGTTTTGCCAATTGGCCATGGTGTCCTCCTAGATTATAGTCCTGAGCCCTTAGGCACAGTGACTCATTTCCTCAAGGGGTTTAGTTATGGCTAAGAAGTGCCCCTTGTGTGCTCCATACATTTATGGGCATATTTGCAGCAAAGGTAAATACCCAAACACAAATATCCTTTGTCAAACCTATGTATTTGTGGGTATATTCCTGCTCTCCCTCCCACACTCATTCAGCCTATATATTTCTATTCATGTATCTACTCTCACACCACCATTATTGCAGGAGTGTGTTGTTTTTAAGTGCCACTGAGTCAATTCCAACTCATAGCAAGCCTGTATAGGGTTTCTGAGAGAGCTCTAGTAGTGTAGTGGTTACGAGTTGGGCTGCTAACCTCAAGGTCAGCAGTTCAAAACTACCAGTGGTTCCATGGGAGAAAGACGAGGCATTCTGCTCCCATAAAGATTTACAGCCTCAGAAACCCTATACAGGGTTGCTATAAGTCGGAACCGACTTCATGGCACACCACCACCGCGTAGTATTTCTGAGGCTTTCAATCTTCTGCAAGAGCAGAAAGCCTCCTGCAGAGCAAATGGTGGGCTCAAACCACTGACCTGTGGTTCGCAGTCCCATGCGTGTCCTATATATCCACTACATAGTATGTGACAGCATTTACCTCTGTTGCCTTTAACTCTTGTGCCCCTCTCCATATCTTCCCCTGCTTCCATCATTTTGTTTTCCTACCTCCCTCTTATTGTATATTGCCTTCCCCTTCATTCATATTAACACATGACTACTCTGGTAGCGTAGTGGTTACGAATCGGGCTGTGAACCGCAAGGTCAGCAGTTCGAAACTACCAGCTGTTTCTGTGGGAGAAAGATGAGGCTTTCTGCTCCCATAAAGATTTACAGCCTCGGAAACCCTGTTCAGGGTCGCTATGGGTCAGAACCGACTCTACAGCACTTTAACAATAACAACCTTCTAGTCATTGAACTACTCTTCCTTTCTCCCTATCCCTGGTAACAATCAAAAAATATGTCTTTTATTGTGAAACCCTTTTCTTGACTTTTTACAATAGTGGTGTCATGCAATATTTGTCATTTTGTGATTGATTAATTTCACTCACCAATATGTCCTCTAGGTTCATCCATATTATGAGTAGTACTTGACTACCTTGTTTAGTTTAGCTTTGTAGTAAGTTTAAAATTCAAAAGTTTGAGTCCTTCAACTTCGTCCTTTTTCAAAATGGTTTTGGCTGTTCTGAGTCCCTTGTATTTCCATATGAATTTCAGGATGAGATTGTCAGTTTCTACAGTAAACCCCCCTGAGATTTTGATTGGGATTATATTGAATCCATAGATACATTTAAGGAGTATACCTACTCCTCACCTATTGGCTATTTTGTTATCTGACAGTACTCATTTACAACAATAGAAACAAATCTACTATTTGAACATTTTGCTCATTAATGTCCTGTCTGGCAAGAGTAATGCTGACTGTGATGGTTAAGGTTAGGGTTAAGGTTAGGGTTAGGGAAGAATACACCATTGCATAACTTGTAAATTACATCATTACAAAACTGCCATAGCACTGTGAATCAACTAAGGAAGAGTTGCTTCCTCAAGGCAGAGTTGACCTTAATGATGTGGATGGATCATAGCTTTCGGGACCTTCATTTGCAGATGGGCACAATTCAGAATGAGGAAAAGCAGATGCAAGAATCCACTAATGAGAACGTGGAAAGGACAAAGTAAGAATCTAGGAAAATTAAACATTGTAAAAAACAAAATGGAATGAACAAAGAGCAATGTCTTATGCATTACTGAGCTGAAATGGACAGGTATTGGCCATTTTATATCAGACAGTCATATGATTAATTATGTCAGAAATAGAATACTCAAGAGGAATCGCACCACATTCATTCTCAAAAAGAGCATTTCCAGATTATATGT